AGCCCCGCCCACCTGTAGGAAGGGGACGATGCCATCCCGGGCGATGGCCTGCAGCAGGCGTGGGGCTCCCGTCAGACTCTGCAGGCCTGCGCCACAGGTGGAGAAAAAGGAGCCGATGACGATGACCCAAGGGGACGGCCAGGCCAGCATGCCGATGACCAGCTGGCCCCGCAGGGCCTCCCCGAACCTGCGAGGGCGCGACGGGGGTCAGCAGGGGCACACGCAGCAGGCCCCCCAGGGCTGCGCCGTGCAGTGGGATGGGCTGTGCGGTGGGACCAAGCACCAAGCTGGGCCGAGCGCCAGTGGACTGTGCAGGCTGGCTCAGCAGGGGCACCATCAGGGCAGCCCAGCTGCAAGCACACACCACCAGGGGTCTACCAAGCAGGCCGCCACCGGCCTCACCCCACAGCCCCGCAGCCTGCCAGCCCCACCCACACTTCAGCCCTCGCTCTGACGGCACAAAGGCCCCGCTGCCTGGCACCTTCCAGCCTCACATGGCCCTCGGGGAGACAGGTGTCCCCAGTGCCTTGCACCCCCTTCCAGGTCTGCCTCCAGAAGCAGACCCCACCCTGACGCCCTGCACCCTTCACAGGCCCCTTAGAGTCTAGCAGGGTCCTCGCTGGGTCAAGGAAACCTCCGATCTGCCCGAAGCAGAGAGGAGGAAGGGTCAAGCTGGGATTTAAACTGGAAAAGACGTCCCGTCCTGGGGCGCAGCCATGAAACCAGAGGGACAGGGAGAGTAGACACCTGCCCGAGGGCTTCTGAAAACTACAACAGAAACGTGCGTACTTATCCCGCAGGACCACGCCTTCAATGCACGCCCCGAACAGCACGATGCACGACAGGTCTGGGCTCTCGTGAAGGAACCAGGCATCGTCTGTGGGCCATGGAGCACGCAGACCTCCCGCTCCGGTGCACCGCGCGCCCCGGCCCTGCTCGGACCCCTGCCCTCCCCGCCCTGGCACATCAAGCGCCTGACCCGGCTCAGACGCCCGCCCGCCGTGGTGGACCACAGACCCGTTCCGGCTCAGACCCCTACCCACCCTGGCTGAGTGCACTGTGTGCCTCATCCCTGCTTGGACCTCATGCACCCCAGCACACAGCACGTCCCATCCCTGCTCAGACCCTCACCCACCCACCCGAGTGCACCACACATCCCGTCCCTGCTCAGACCCCCGTCCATCCAACCCAAGTGCACCATGCATCCCGTCCCACTCAGACTCCTGTCCATCCTGCCCGAGTGCACCATGCATCCCGTACCTGCTCAAATCCCCGTCCATCCAACCCAAGTGCACCATGCATCCCGTCCCACTCAGACCCCCGTCCACCCTGCCTGAGTGCACCATGCATCACGTCCCTGCTCAGACCCCTGCCCATCCCGTAGAACTGGACCTGCATACAGTAGGGCCACAGTGGGGGCTGGGCAGGACACACAGACTGCCCTTTCCAAGGGAGGGTGTGCCACAGGGCAACCCAAACACTAGAACCCATGTGACGTGACCAAGTGTGATACTATGTATGTCTGTGTATTTATGTATCTATGTGTGAGCATGCATATGTGTAAGTACGTGTGTAGATGCGTGTATGCATGTATGTGTGCGTTTGTGTACAAAACCGAAGCAAGAACCCACTGCCATCACGTCGGCTCTGATTCACAGCCATGACCCGTGTCAGAGCTGACTGCTCACAGGGACTGCTTGGCTGTGCTGTTCATGGAAGCAGATTCTTGGGTCTGTCTTCCACAGAGCCGCTGGGTGCGTGTGAGCTGCCAGCCTTTAACTAGCAGACAACCACAAACTGTTTATACCA